ATATCACTCTGCAAGGAGTATCTGTCATCCGGGTTTCCAACTAATTTGATCCGCGTACAAAAAGCGGGGGTTCTCGAGACCTGACGTTATGTCGTTGACATAGACTAGAAAGAGAAGTGGAGCTAGGATGCATCCTTGTGGAACCCCGCTCGTGGGGAAACCCACCTCCGACAGATATCCCCGCACACGAACTCAGTAGGTCTGCCCGGACAAGAACGCTCTAACCCAGGTACAGACTTTCGGATTAAGCCCAGTTGCTTGGAGCTTGAAGTCTAACAACCTGTGGTTAACTGAGTCGAATGCTTTCTGGAAGTCCAGGTAACACACTTCGACTTCCGTTCCCTCATCTAATTTCTGTGTTACTACATCTAGGAAACATAACAGATTTGTTAGACAAGATCTGCCTTTGATGAATCCGTGTTTGGCGTTGCAAAAGAAACCGATTTGAAGAAGGTACACGCTTATGTAGTCTCGCAGAACACGCTCCAGGAGCTTAGCAACGATGTTAGTGAGACTGATCGGACGATAGTTGGACGGGTCCGATTGGTTACCCCCCTTAAAGATTGGGACCACTGTGGCATGTTTGCAGTCCTCCGGAATCCGGCCCGTGTTCAGAGAGTCGTTGAACATTGTGAATAGTTGGGGGATCATTAAGGATTCTATCGGTTTTATGACGGCTGGGTGGATATTATCTGGACCCGCGGGTTTGAAGATTTTGAGAGTCTTAACGACTCTTTCCACCTCCGGTGTAGATATCATCAGATGTGGCATGTCACTCACTCGATCGAGGGTAGGGTAGTTGCTCAGGCTATTCAGGCGATAGACTTTTTGGAACGAGGCGTTGAAGGAGTCGGTATATCCTTGTCGGTGGTTAAGGGTTGCCTATTAATGTGAAGGGCATTGCCGATCACTTTTCTTGATGAGGACCGGGCTTGAGTGTAGCCGAAGTATCTTCTGGGGTTAATTTAGGCCTCGTTGGCTATGGCTAGTTCATACTTGAGTCTAGCCACCCGTGCTACTTTGATAGCTTTATTGCGGAGACGTTTAAAGCGAGCAAAGAGCAGGGGGCTTCTTTGCCTGTTCAACGCCATCTAGGCCTGATGTTTCTTGTTACACACTCGGCGTACTCTCGGTCGGAACCAAGGTTTGTGTCTTCTTATCCCCGTTGTTTTCACAGGAACGTAGACTTCCGTGAGGAGTACAATGTTGTCCCTCATTCGGTTCCAGGTATCTTCTATAGAGCCCAGATTGTCCCAGCACAGTCCCTCCGCTCCGTTGACCAAGTCGTCAATGTTGATGTTGTGGAGTCTTCGAGTTCCAGTTTCGGGCATCGGGGTTTCTACTCGGTGAAATTTGAAGAACACCGGTGAGTGGTTGCTTTTACCTAAAGGAACTCCGGTCTTTATTCCCGTGATGTCATTGCTGTTTCTCGTTAGCACGAGATCGAGAGTGGATGGTACTTGTCCCGCTCTTATCCTGGTAGGTACCATTAAGTGCTGCGTCAGGGTTAGACCGGATACGGTGTTGAGCAGAGCCATATTTATCCCAGTTCCGCGACATGATTGGTGTGCTCAGTTGACAGTGGGCGCGTTGAAATCCCCTAGAATCAAGAGCCGATATCCTGATCTAGCAGCTCCACACAAGGCCTGAAGAAGTTCCTCATTTTCTTGGTGTGACGAGCTTGGACTGCGATA